TGCTCATTAGATCATTTCTGTATGTATATATATATATATATATTCAAAGAGAACTAGGGTATATGGGTTACCGAGAAGAGTGAAGGAGTTTGAGGGTTTAAGAGAAACCCCATTTGAGAATCTGAGGAGTAATGAACCGAATGCTCTGATTGTTGAAGATGAAGGAGACGCAGACGCCATTTTCACTTATTTTCTGGAAATTGGTCTATCTCTTTGGTTCTTTTTCTTTTTCCTTCACAACAGATTTTAGGAAAAGTGATTCGTGTTCTCGGTGCTTAGCGTGCGGCTTATTTTCCTTTTCTTTGTCCTCCAGTTTTAAGTTTCGAGGTTTTTTAAGTTATTTTTTATAAGTGAATAAATAAATTATTTTTTAAAATGTATGTTTGGAGAAAATGTACATAGAAGCAAATGAATGTTTGGTAAGTGATTAATTAAGTGTCAAAATTATCATATAGAAGTAAATTAAAATTGTACTGAGTAAAATTAATTGCTTTATGAAAGAAATTAATTAATTGATCGAGGTCAAAAAATTTACTTAGTCAACTAAAATCAAAGTCAATAACTAATTTATTATATTTTCATTTTTAAATGTTTTATTTTTCCTTGTTCGTTTAGATTTTATACATAATTGACGGAGTAATATTATTTGGTCCCAATAATTTTAAGTAGTTATCTACGTGATACTGCATACTGAGCTATATAGCATTATTTTAACAAATATGGTTCAAAACTTTTGATTGGACCAAGATTTCGACTCTTAATTTGAGTTGGGAGCGTTTAAAAATCGAAAATATTTCTCAATACATATCTAGAGCATTAATCCACATCTAGATTGTGATACAAGCAGGTAAAAAAGCAAAAATATATCATAGTTGCCTAATTTAAGAGAGTCCTGATCTTCGATTGAATTTTCGAGAATAATAATTTTTCTAAAATTAAAAATAGCTAGCAGAGAACCATGAATGAGCATCATTATTTTTTGCCATTGAGAAGAGGAAATCCATATTTTACAAAATTGCTTGCAAATCATTTTTCATCTCCCCCTTAAAAAAGATTAAATTCATCATATATACATGTATTTTAATTCTAATTTGCAAGGGTGGGTATTTTTTCCAGGAATCAGACCGTACCAAATAGAACTGGTCGGTTCTGTAGCTTCTGTTCCATTCCTCTGCTAAACGGGTTGATTTTGGGATAATGCGTCAAATCTGTCAATTCTGATCATGTTCTCAATATTGTCTTGAGAATCGATAATGAATTTGGTTTTCTCAAATTTTTTTTACTTGCACCAAGATGCACTAGAACTTTGAATACTAAATCCCAAAATTATTTTCACATTAAAATTTGATTTTCCATGTACTTTTTCTTCTTATTTCCTTTAATGGGTAATCAAAATTCAAATTTAAATAATTTTATAAATACCTTACAAATTCCCGGCTTTAATGCAACCTTAGGGGAAAAAAATATTTGTAGTTCATTTTTATCTTCTTTTTTTTTTAAGTTACCAACCATCAATAACCAAGATTCTTGAAGATTACTAAAGACAATCAGGTTATTGTTATACAGATTTTCTTAAAAAACTATTTTTCAATCGAAATTTTACCGTTTATGCTTTGTGTAATAGTTCATCTTTTTTTCACCTTTATGAGTTGATCGTGAGCTTTGGAGTGGATTTTGTTTGTTGCATTATTCAATTGATTTTTCGTATTGTTAGATTAAAAAGAATGACAAGTAATTTCATACTCAATATTTGTCTATTTTCAATTGATAGGTAATTACATACTTTATTTTTATAGTTTTTCACTATAAAGAATCGGACTGGACCGCAACGGAACCAATTGATTTGGTTTCGGTTCAATTTTATAGTTGGATAATTTTAAAGATTCTCATTGGTGCTGGAAACCGAACCAAAATCGCGCCCACTTTTACTGATTTGTACGAACTTGTGCTATCATTAAACTTGAATGCCCTAATCACTGCTGCAACGGCCGTCATCCTCCACCATGGCATCTACACTAACATAAGTTGAGAGATTCAAATACTTCTATCAATTTACTCTCTCTCTCTCTCTCTCTCTCTCCCCACCACACATGGCATAGTACGCAGGTTGCAGATTTTCTCTGAGCGCCACTTCTCTTCCATGCCAAGAAGCAGTTCTCATAAATTGTATTTCTGCAAGTCCCACAAACCACTACCTAGTCTTCTTTTCCCATTTCTTCCAAACAAACTGGACAAATACTCCCATCTTCCACCACCACCGGTGGTCGGGATCGCTCGGCCAGGCATTAAAAAATAGCTGTTGAAACCTCTCACGTAGGGTGACACTGGCTAATGCTTCAGTTAACGTAGGCAAATTCATAGGCGATTGAGTTGGCATGGCCGGAGAGTTCTCCTCGACAAGCACGAATCATCGAGTTGAACGCCCAATACGCGGATTAGAACGAATAAAATGTGCTTGCAAGGAGTCATCCGAGGACCCCGATCAGGGCAAGTACATGATGGGGTAACGCATAAATTAATAGTATAGACATTTCATGTTAAACCTAATATAAAAAACATGGAATCTAACCTATGGAGGAGACAGAGTTGGTGGCAGAGAGCTCAGATTACGCGTTCGGCTAAGCGTTGCGGGCGGGGATGGTCGGGTGGGGATGAAGTAGTTGCAAGGGATTACATTTTTGAGAAGTGCTAGGGGTACATTAGGGTTCACATAATACTCACATGGGGTGGGACCCACTCAAAAGTGGGTTCTACATTATGGATGAAAATTATGTACAAGTAGAATTTTCCTACATTTTTTGAAGTAAAAAGTAGTTGATGACAGTTGGGAGTTATTGAGAAATAGAGGTTGAAATTCTTTGGACAGTTTAGAGGGGCACGTGAGGGATAGTGCAATTTGGACCTTCCTATAATAGTTGTGTTTTAGGCACATCATAATTTATGAACTTGGCTACAATGTTTACTTGTCCAGTAGATAGAGAGCCATCGAGAGACCAAAACTTCATTATTAATTTGAGAAAGAAGGCATTTTGCGGTAATTAAAAGTTACTTATTTTAGATACTAGCTTAATATTTAATTTTAAACACTTCGTATCTATTTCCCCTTTTCTTGCATCCAAAAGCCCCGTTAATGAGTCTCTTTCGATTCTTTCATCCAGTCTTATAATGCACCCTCGACTCTCACGAGGTCGCTGGCATTGTCAAATGTTCCATCACAAAGCAAGCTTTTTTTTTAATACAACAAATGTGGAACTGATCAAGTCAGAGAAAGAAAGCAGTTGG